CAGGCGCCCAAGGCACGCGCTATTCCCACAAAGCAGCTCACCGGGCGAGGCCCGCTCGAAATTCACAGTGGACACAATGTCAGTGGGACCAGGTAGTCTTCTCGGACGAATTCAGATTCAACATGTTGCACCCAGACAGGCGAGCCCACGTCTGGAGGCGCCGAGGAGAGCTGTTCCACCATGAGTGCATCCTGCAGGCGGTGCCCTACGGTGGAGGGTCCGTTCTGGTGTGGGAAGGCTTCTCAGCTCACCACAGGACCCCCCTGTACCATATACATGGCAGTTCGACCGCGGCAATGTACAGGGAGGAAATCGTGCTTCCCCTTGCTGTTCCTCTGCTGCAGCAGATTGGACCCCAGGCTGTACTGCAGGACGACAACGCCACGCCACATCGTGCACACATGGTGGGGGACTTCCTGCAGCAGCGAGCTGTCATCTACATGGACTGACCAACTTCTATTCCGGATTTGAACCCAATAAAGAACATTTGGGATCACATTGACCTGTTGATCAGGGACAACCACCCTCCTGCACAAAACCTTCAAAAACTCTTGGACTACCTCGTCTAGGAGTGCAGAACCTACCCCAACAAGTTCTCCAAAGGCATGTCCGGTCCATGCGTCGACTCTGTGCAGAGTGTTTGATCAAACGGAGAGGCTACATCCAGTATTGACAATGTTCATGAAGAACTATGGCTGTTCAGACTTTTGCAATCCGACCAGTGTGACTTAAACTCATTTTACATGAACTTTTGTTGTTGTTGAAATCTGAAAGTGTACACACTTAATCTAGAGAGTCGAAAGCATCTTTTGTGAAAAAATGAATAAATTCGGTTAAACTGTTCTTCAGTTATCTTTCTTTGAATTTTTGTTCCTTGACTTTTTTGTGCGAGTTTATTTGAGGATAAGTTGCACCACGAATTTTTCATCGCACTATAATGGTTAAATGGTTACTTGAAAAATTCTCAAGACGCTGTTGTTTAATTAAAGGGTGAGAGAAGACACAAAGCTTTGTGCATTGCAGTTTTATACTACTCGTATCTATCGTGCATGCTGACTTTTGGTTTTATTGAGGACACAATGATCGACCTCAGTAATATTTGTGGATTCTGTAAAAAGTTGACCTGTGTCTTCCAATTACACGATTAGTGCAAAAACTTTTTTACATCTTTAGAAGACTCATCAAACTGAAAAGCTAAACAAATAAAACCATAACAATACTAACAACAAACTAAAAATGTTAGAAAAAGAACGCCAACAGCAACAGCAATAGCAGCAGCAGCAACAATAAGAACAACAAAAACAACAACAACAGTAAAACCAACCACAATTAAAGCAACAAAACATCAATAACAACGATAAAAACAACAATTCAATAACAACAAATTCAGTAAGGTAACATCGTTAAGACGAACGACCAAAAGGGATTAATTACAGTCGTGATATGTGGCTAAGAAGTGCAGTCTTTGATTTAAGCTGAGTGTGTGTGTGTGTGTGTGTGTGTGTGTGTGTGTGTGTGTGTGTGTGTGTG